CCAGTGCCTCACACATGCTAGACTAGTGCTCTACCACTGAGCTACAACCTCAGCCCAACAATGTGTCCTTATGAGAACTAATCTAGTCATAGAAGACCTGACCCACTTCCATGAGAGCATCAATCCATTCACGAGGGTGGAGCCATGTGACCTGGTCACCCTCCCAGGCCCTGTCACTTAAAGCTCCCGGCACCTTCACAGAGCTGCTCTGAGGATCAAGATTCCAGCCCAGGGACCTTAGGAGGACAAACCAAATTCAAACCACAGAAATGAGGAAAGGGGGTGTGACATGAAGGATGAACATGTCCCTGAGGAGGTGACACCAGCCAAAGCTTCACATTAAGGAACTCTTGAGGGTATTTCATGACATGGAGAACACAGAGGATAAAAAGTGTTTAGATAAGGGTAGGACAATTCACCAAGGTATAGGGAAAAAGTCCACTTCTGTTAACCATCTTGGAGGACAAGCAAGTGCTGTTCAAATCATCTTTTCTAAGTTTTTTTTTCTAACCCTAACCCTAACCCTAACCCTAACTCATTAATTCTCAATGTTTCTAATATTTTAAATTACAATACACTAGTAAATGATCATATTATTGTTTTCTTCATCTCCCTATACAGTTGTAGCTGACAGAGAACTTTAAATAGTTTTATAAAAAATTTTAATGGTCATGGAACAATTGTAATTTCCCCCAAAGATTATTAAAATAATTTTGCATGGTTTGCAGGGTCATTTTTATGATCCCATAGTACCATGCAAGGGAGGGCTGCTTATCTGTATGTTTCATGATAACTGTTATCATGACCATTACTCAGATAAGGAAATTGAAGTTTTAGAGCGTCCAAGCTACTTGACCAAGATCAGGCAGATAGTAAATAGAAGGGCTTATATTGGAACCTGTGTAGTCTGACTCCAAAGTCTGTTTCCCAAACCACTATGCCATATTGTTGTCCATACCAGGCTGCAAGCTAGTCAAACACAAAGACCAAATCTTTTGATCTTTATCTGCCTAGCATGTGAATGACTTAATAACTTCACTGTATTCATACATTTTTGGTCACAGTAACAAAATACCCAAGGCTGCAGAACTTATAAAGAGATGTATTTGGCTTATGATTCTGGTGATACAAGGTCTAACTTGGCACCAGCATCCTGATAAGAGACTCCTGATGGCATCACAACGTGGTGGAGAGGCAGAAAGTGAAAGAGCCTTATGCGGAAGGGGCCAATCATGTGGGGTGATCTCGCTTTATAATAATCTGTCCTCTCAAGAACTAACTGGTCCTGGGAGAACCACATTATTCCCTTCCAAGGGTGGTGCCCTATGGCCTAATGACCTCCCACTTGACCCACTTTTTAAAGGTTCCACTACCTCCCAACACCTCCACACTGGAGACCAAGATTCCAGTATATCAACATTTGGAGGACATGCCCTACCCAAGCCATAGGATGCTTGTTGAATGAAATTTAAAAATAAAAAAGATAAATGAAGAAATAAACTACAAAAGGAATTAATACATTAAATAAAAATAATGAGAAAAGCTGAAAGACATGAAAAGTAAATAAATAAAGGAAAATTATTTATGATTCTTGTTAAAGATGGTAAGCCAGACTCTACTCAAGGGGAATTCATTGTGATAGTTCTAGGAACCCACTGCAAAATGGGATCTTGTAGTGGGAAGAGAAATTGGACTAGATTCCAAAAAACAAATAAGGAAGAGTGGGGATGTATAGCCAAGGAGCATGACGGGGGTGAGGGACTTCTTGCTGGAGGCAGGTGGGCAATAAGATTGAGGGTGGTCAGAACCTGATGGTGGAGGATTTTCCCTAAGCTGACTTATCAGGATTCTTGCTCAAACTGAACTCCACAAGGTCAGAGAGGGAAGCCCAAGGTCAGGTCTAGTCAAGGAGGGGGTTCAAAGGAGTCCGATTCATCTTAGGGAAGTCTTTATGACCATCAGTTATAGATAAAATGATCCTCTGCTTTCTCATGGGATGGAAAGACAGATATTTACGGTGCTTTGGAATACAACATGGTGTAGAGGATTATGAACACTTGCTAAAAACTTCTGGTGAGGGGCATTACATCAGAACACACTCGAATAAGACTTTGGGGAGTAAAAAATGAAAGCATCATTTCCTGCTTTTTTTCATACACCTGTTCTAGGTGTGGGAGTTATTCTGTGAACCCCTTAGTGAAAGGCAAGCACAGATGTTAAAGGCCTACAGAGTTGTCCTGGAGGAGAAACAGAAATAGACATTCCTTACATCATACCTGAAAACCCACCTGAAATTTGTGCTTTGTGAGGAAGTCAGGAAAAGTGTCTACTAAAGCCTTGAGCCGAGGGTCCAAAAAACAAACTATAGCAAAGCTCTGTTTGGAAAGCAAAAACCACAGAAAAATCAAGAGTTGCAATTGTACAAAAATAGATATGGGTCAGGCAGGAATATGGAGATGAGCGCTTGTGGGCTGCAGAAGCGAGTACATTGTGTTTTGTTTTGTTCTGTTCTGTTCTTTCAGTCATCACTTCTACCCGGGGTGTGTGTGTGTGTGTGTGTGTGTGTGTGTGTGTGTGTGTGTGTGTGAAAACCAGTCTGCATAAGAGCAGGCTTAGACTGTTACAGACACAAACTGCCAACCTCACTATATTCATGGAAGGAAGGTCAGTTCAGTTGGAAGAGACACCTGGGGCAGATGGGATGAGAGGCATGAAGCTTCCTACTGGCTTCCAGAACAAAGGGATGCCCCTGGGACAGGGACAGCATCTGTGATCCAGCCTTTGAAGAATGCATCCTCCTGTTTCAACTCAAGGCCAATCCACAAGAAGAAACCAACTCTCTCAGAGGAGTCTGAGGTGACTTTCTTATTGAAAGAAAGACTCCACCCTACAAAAATTCTCTAGCAGAATGTTCTCTCCCTTTCTCCCCCAATCCACATGCAAATGCAATCTATTCATAAACAGTTCTATGATTCACAGGAGGCTCCTCATTTTTACCTAAAGAGTAAAGAGAATTCGGATAATTGGGGGTTCAGAGTGCCGAGTAGAAGATTGAAAAGGAGAGGAACATTTTTCCAAATGATATCTTGTGGGGTTTTGGAGATCTATAAGTACTTTAGCAATTATTTTTGGTTGGTTTTGCCTTCTTTGAATGTAGCACTTTGTGAAAAACTATATCACACAAGGCCCCCACTTTTATTTGGGTTTCATCTATGTCACCTAAAATGGTCCAAACAGTTCAAACTTGAAAGCAGAGATGGCTCTGCCCCTCCCACTGGTTTTTCCCTCCCCATGGTTCCCATGTCTAATATACCTTGTCCTTCAAGTCTTCTGCTGCTGATTTATTTAGGACTCTTCTTTGGTCACTGATCTCTGTAATGCTTTTCTCACCACTTTCAACTTTGTACCCTTAAAGTTTCTGTGCACAGCAGCTCCCGGTGAGATAACCTCCCTGCACTGGGGAGGACAATAGAGATCACCTACAGGGAAAGACAGAAGGAGACATTTTCCAATGGATATTATCATGATTACCTTGCCCTGTGAGAGGTGAGGAAGCATTATTAGGATGATAAAAGTTTTTGATATGGAGTGTATTATGGTGAATAAAAGACATCAATAAGGACCCTTACCCGTGAGAGGGGCTTCCTTAACATTATTAGACTTTCAAATACTAAAAATGATAACAGAGTTGAACCAGTAAGAAATATGTCTGCACTTAATGAGTTAGTTAATAAAAATAAAATATAATAAAATAAAAAAAAGTTATCCTCAGCAACATGGGTGAGGATGACCCTGATTCTCAGGTTAAGGCTTCAACTTGATCTGCTTCCTAGGTCTCAGGAGGCCTATCTCTTATGCAGAAGACTGTCTCTTGAGCGTTAAATCACAAGCCACTTGAAAATAGGGACCGTTTATTCAGATTTGAATCTCTTTACCTACCACAGCTATAGTTTTGGGTAAAAACCATTTTGTTTGGATCTTTGGGCTTTGCATTCAAAGCATGGTTTATGGAGTGACTTGCTTTCTGTGATGAAATAAAATGTTTTTCCTTTATGTTATTTTTGGTGTGCAGATTTTCAAAATTGTAGTTTTGTGGTTGTTATTTTTGTTTAAAAATAAAAGGGGGGGGGGGGCAAGAAGAAACAACAACAGCAAACAAATAAAAAAGCCACTTTGATGAAGCATAGTTAGGGAGCTTGGGGAGAGTGTTTCATCCTGGTGCCAAATGACGCTCACTAAAATTGCAGCAATTTTTGATGCACTTGCCAATGTTTGTGTTATTTTTACTTTAAAGATGTAACAGATTGCTCCAAAATAAATAATTTAAGCCTAATGTTTCAAAAGAATCCAAGTGCTTGCGTCTTTCACTTCTGGCTTCTCTTCTGGGACTGAGGGTGCCCAGCAGGACCAACCCTCATTTCTATAGAACGCTCCATTTGGAGGGCTGTTTTCTTGCTTTGTTTTCCAAAGTTGAATCTATTTTTTACTCTTCTGTTCCAAATGTCATAGGTTGTGTGATTGTTCAGCACTGAAGAAATAACTCCTCTTATCCAAGAAAGGAGAAAGATCGCTGATCTTGTGGGAGGGGTGTGGGAGGGGTGTGGAAGGGAGACAGGAAAAGCTCTGGAATGAGAACCTAACCCAAGTCTCACAGGAATCTGTTTCTATACTGATTCCGATTTAGATGTCTAGTCATGAACAGAAAGCCAAACTCAACACACACTGTCCTCGGTGTGACTTCAAACAGCTCAGACTTGACAGGTTAGCTTCACTCAAAGTGATCTCACCCTCAGTCGATTAGTGGGAATGTCACAGGATTATTTGCCTTTATGGCATAGTCTAAGAAGAAATATCTATAATTTAAAAAAAAATCAAAGCCAATTATTATGCTCTTCTGTATTTTCTCAATGAGCAGGGGTAGCTTTTATAACAAGAAACAACGATAAAAATGAAAAGACCCAGAATGATAAACTGACAGCGTTGCCTTCTCATTAATGTAGGGCGCCATTGTGAGGTCCATCAGATGACTGGGAATTACATGTGGGATCCCAAAACCAACAAGTCATTTGACATCGGTGTCAACAGAGACAGCCTGATGCCTCTTTGGTGGAATGGATCAGAACCTCTGTGGGTCACTCTGATTAAGGCCAAAAGGAAGGTCTACATGTACTACTGGCCAGGTGAGTGTTGATCTTCAGGTCTTACTTATCTTCCAAATCAAAACACCATTGAGTCTCTGAGGGAAAGCATTACAGTCTTCTTGTTGGAGAACAAAGCCATGGTTTGAAAAATGAGATGTTTACTTATGAAATACATCTTATAAGCACATTTTGTTAAATTTTGTTTTTGTACTTTGAAACATTAGACCAGACACAATGTCATTGTCTTCCCAGTGGTGGGATTCACTCTTTTGGTAGGCGATTGATTCCTTTGGTTCAGTAGTACTGTTTCAATATATTATAGCTATTTTTCACTTGCAAAATTTTGGATATATAGGAGAGATTGATTATTGTCTCATTGACCTTAACAAAATAACTTGGTGTGTACCATTTTTAAAGATGTTTAAAGTCCCCTACAACACAGAAAAGAGAATTCAAACCACTCACAACTTTTTGTTAGTGCATTAAATGAAGTCCCTTTGTGTTAAGACTCCTCCTGCACATCTTAAATCATTAAGAGACTAAGTTATCCTAAATTATTTTACTGCAATGAGGTAAGTGGTCATGAAAACTACCTTGGCTACAGTGAGAAGTCCTTGGGATTCTCTCATCCTTCACCTTTTATTAAGGATGAGAGGATTTATAGCTAACAAAATAATCAACTCACGGTCATCTTCCCAGTGGTGGGATTTACTCTTTTGGTAGGTCATTGGACTTTTCCATGCACATGGCTGTGGACACTTTTACCTAATTCTTAATGCTGTATTACTTCCGTTATGGGCAAAGTTATCAAGGGAGGCCTAGAAGAAATTAAGGCATAAATAAAAAGCAGCCTGATAGGAGAGGGGAAGAAGTAGCTGATGGCATCTCACTCGATTGAGTCAGAGGGCAGCATCAGCTGAAAGAATTGTAGGAGTGCGGTGGTTTATGGGAGAGGGTGGAGTGTGACTGATTATGGGGAAGGCTAGCTGGCAGGGATAGGAGAGAGTGGTACAAAGAATGAGTAAGCACAGGCTGAATCACAGATGGCCCACACTAAGGGTGTGGGCCTTCAGCAGGTGTTTGGAGGATGCTGTCTGGAGGTGGACGCCTGAGAACTGCTCAGGACACTCAAGGGTGTGCCAGCTCCTGGAGGAGCATAGAACATAGACAGATGGAGACCACAGAAAGCAGCCCCACAACCAGGGTGTGGTAGGAATCTTGAAGATGCCAGAGAGCAGTGACAGGCATCCATAGGTGGGCTCATGAAGCAGGAGCCGGCTGTGGAAAGCTAAAACTGGGCAGAAGAACAAACACAGGCTTGCTTTGCCAGTGAAGACAGTTTCTGGGGGTCACCTGGGATTCTACCCATAGCAGTCACCTAGGATGACATGAGAAGCTTTTGAGAAAGGGAAAGATTTAGGAGGACTCTCTTATCTCAAATGGAGACTCAATTTTTCAAGGAATTGGATATTAGATGAAGGAAGCCAATAAATGCATGGGCCATTCTTATATGAGACTTAACCAGAGGTTAAGTTCATGGTCAAACCCATTGTGATGAGGTCTAAAATCAAAAGATTTTGCTGCACCTGTGAGATCATTCTCAGAAGCATGATTATTCACAAATATAAGAGGCCCCCTGCATAGGCATAGGAGAGAGAATAGGTTGGACATAGTGCCTTAGGGACCACCTTAAAACCAATCTAAGAACATCAAGATGAATATCTCTACAAAACCATAAGGACCTCCTTCCATATCTGGTTAGTTTCACTTTACCTTGAAACTTAAGTTCTTCATGTTCTAAAGATCCCCTTTCCAATAATCCCCCTCCACCAATACCCCACATGTGTCATGCACACACGATCTGCTGTTGGTAGACTTTTGCATATAGTGACAATACTATGGCAAGATGATGGGAAATCCTGAAGAGGGGCAGTTGCCATAGCCCAGACTTCTCTCTGCTGCCTTGCAGAGCATTATGCTTTCTATCATCTTGGAGAATCTGAATGTATATATCAATGAGTATCTAATAAATCTCAAAGCTCATTTGCATGTGAAAAATTCTCATTGCTTCTCCAAAATGGCTCCTTAAGGGCAAGGAGTCAACCACTTCTTCTGATTCACAGTTCAACAGCTAATGGGATGTGACAAAAAATGCCTTCAGATCAGTTATAGTGTTAAATAATCAAGAGGAAAGAAGCTAAAAAGATAACTTCCCAGAATTTCCTCAGTGACCTAAATGAAGATGAGCTAAAGATTTAGCCATGTTGAAGTCTCAATAAAGAGCCTTTTGTTCCTTGGATATGGTCTAGGCCTTCAAACTGGATACCAAAGTAAAGGCTCTCTGAGAGTGTTGTACAGTCCAGCCAGCATTGCCCTGTAATCTTACATACTTATTGGCTATTGGCTGAGGGATCCATGGTCACTGCTGTCCTTTCTCTCTCAGCCCTGGTCCCCTCCAGCCTCATCCAATAGCCTGCCTGGTGAGTGTTCCCATTTGTCTCTGTAAGATTAAGTCAAGAGCAGTTGCATCTTTTCTCAACAGGACTTGGTTTTATTTTTTTCTTCAATCCTCCTCTTCCTTCTCTATTCCCCACAGGACATTGTACAGACCTCTAGATGAGGCCTGGGAAATCTTCGCTGCTCCAGCGAGCTGTGTTATGACACTGAGTCTCGCCATTAAGTCAATATTTAGAAGTGCAATTTAGAAATGGCAGTAGTTCAAGTCGTACTGTCAGGTAGATAAAGCAGCAGACTGAAAAATTAATCAGTTGTGAAGAGTTCAGCCTGCCCCACCTCAAATCCTGAGACATTTAATATTGTCAACAGACCCTTCAGAGCCCCACCCAATGGTACCATTGAGCTACACAGGGGAAAATGTACCTCGGGAAATGATCCCAGGCCTTAAACTGTATAACTTGGACCCCGTAGTATTCTGCAAAGGATAAGACCTAAGTATGTGTTGTTCACTAATTTTATTCTTCAGTGCACCGCTTCCAGTTTGATGTTGAAGGAATTTTTTTTCTTTTGAGAGACAAAAGGAAGAGCTTCAAATATCCAGTTCTTAACTGGAGAGCAACTTAAAGCAAGAGAAGATGCCCTTGAGGAAGGAAGAGATATCAGGGAATTGGTGAATTAATTAATTGCTGTGGAAAGAGTTTGAGCATCTTGGAACTGCTGGCAGTTTTTTGTCTCACCTCTCACAAAGCACAAAAAGAGGGCAGGGATTAAAAACAGCCACCTTTTAAGAGTCTGTGGTTAAATTCTTTGATCTTCCCATTTTATATCTTTCATCATGCATTTTGGAGTGTTAACTCCCTACAGACAAGTAGTTAGGAAGACTTGGATGCAACCACTCATATGTCATGTGGGAAGATGTTGGGTGTGGGTCTGGACTCTTCCATTGGCCTCTTCCTGTCTTGTGCAGGCGTTGAGACCAGTAAGACACCCTCTATGGAGAGAAACACATATTGTCATCTGTCTTCCATCCATCATTTTTCAGAGGTGGGCTGGGTGGGAAGTTATTAGGTGAGTATCCAACTCATCTCCTATCAAGTTCAGGTTGTTATAATCAAGGAGACTTTATCTAGACAAATAAGAGGCACATCTTAGCTATTGGTCAAGAATTATGGATCATCTACAGCTTTTTCCTCTTTCCAGCAATAGTGGATCCTTGCTATGCTTCTATCAGGCTGATCTTAGGTCCATATTCTCAAGCACAGGGAAACTTAGCCCAAAAACCATTATACAAAGCTATGAGCCAACATTATACATAAGTCTTTGCCTCTGCAAATGACACCAAACCTTTGTACTGGATTTTTGTAAGGCAGATATTTGACAATGCAAATAAAAAAGATCTTACTAGCCAGTAAATTTCTCAATAGTACCACCAGTTTGACATTAGACCTTGAGATCTATGTAAGAACTAGAAGGAAACTCACTACATATTTGGTTGGTTCCAACACTTGTGAATTAAAAACTTCTGTAGGGAACTCTCAGGGCTGGGGATGAAGCTCAATGGTAGAGCACTTGCTTAACACACGTTAGATCTCCAGCACCTCAAAAAGAAAACCTACAGTTCTCCATTCCATAAAATACACCAACGTATACTACATTTGATATTTTGTGCTCATATAATGCAAGACACTATCATGATTAGGATTGACAAGTAATTTTTTACACAGTAGTACACATATACCTATGATATTTGATTAATTTTGTTTTTATATGATGTAAAATGTGTTTTTAAAAACCCATTTAAACTTTCAAACCTAAGCTGCTATAATTAATGTTGTCTGGCAAGGACAGGCTTGGGTCAAAATTCTGTAATATTCCTGGGGTTGAAATCCCACTGCATCATTTGCTTTGGTAGTAACTTTGCCAAGTTCTGCATCACTGATGCTATCTGTCTGTGTCAGCAAGAAAAAGATTATGAATTCACATTTCAAGTGTGAGATTATCTTAAAAAAAAAGATCTTCAAAAGCCTTCTGCAGGATTTCTAGGCGTCAACTAATTCTGCTGCAGAGAAATTGAGGTGATGCTGCCTCCCTAGACTGCTGACTGCAGAAGCGATTTCTCCAACACATCCAGTCTCCTCTTGCAAAAGAGTATCTTGGTCAAAAGAGCTCATAGTCTCTCAGCAGTGTCCATTATGTTGACTAGAAAGTCTTGGAGAGAAATCCAGGGATGAATTTCTGTTCTTCATAAATCATGACCAATCTATTCTCAAAACATCTTGGAGGAACTTTAGATTGGGCAGAGAGGAGGGAGGGGAAAGGAGGCAGTGGGGGGAGGAAGACAGTGGAATGAGATGGACATTATTACCCTATGTATGGATATGATTGCATGAATGGTATGACTCCACATTAAGCACAACCAGAAAAATGAAAAGTGGTGCTCCATTTGTGTAAAAAAAAAAAGAAATCTTTCAAGGGTGTGACTCAAAACTGTGGCATGAGCTCTCAGAAGATAACCTTGAGCTAAACCAGATACAGGCTCCCCTCATGCTGCACCCCTCCTCCTGAGAACTTACCATACAGAG